TTTGCATTGCCACTGTGCCACTGGATGTTGGGTTGATTGTTGCACCGCCTTAGCTTGGCCCTTGAAGAAGATGGCTAACATGGGAAGGAGAGCGAGAGAGACAGAGAGAGAGAGAGAAAGAGAAAGAGAAAGAGACAGAGAGAGGGAGAGAGGGAGAGAAGCAAAAAAGAAGCAGGGAGGCAAAGGAGTTCGCCTCAGCATGCTCGAAACTGAGGGGTTTTGGGCATGTCTGTCCTCTCTGATCTGGGCCATGTCTAATTTGGCCCACAAGACTTGCTGGTGCGATAGGGAATGAGCGAGTCCGGGTGTTGAAACTGAACCGGAAGGGGATTCCGCTAAAGGAAACCATAGTGGATGGTTCATCGGGGTCATTCCCTAATTCCCTGCTGAGAACCAGCAAGCCATGCAATAAACGAGAAACGGCACGTACATGGACACCTGGACTCATTTTCCAACGGCCTGAGGATCTCGGCTTGCCAGCGAGCATGCACACTCTGCAGGCCGGTCGGCTACCTAAAAGCGGACACATCGATCATGTGCTTAATGGTGGATGATGCCTGCACCCGAGGAAGGCATTAAGTAAATCCTTCTCGCGCAAAAGCTTTGGGGCTTAATATGTGGCTCCATCTTATGGACCTCGCACACACACACATACCGCATTGAGGGTAGTCTATCGTGGGGGGACCTCAATGCATGGTTGGCCTTGACCTCTGATTCTGGACCAGGCCATCCAAACGGCCGAAGGGCCTGAGGAGTCAACAAATGCCCTTGCAAAGCCCTAAAAAAGAGGAACGGGCTCCCTCCAACCTCCCCCCCAGCCCCCCTGAGCAGTGATTTCCTTTGTTGGATTTTGGATTGGGGCTGGCTAGCCCAGCCCAGTCGAGGTGGTTCCCCCAATTTTCAGGCAAGAAAACCTCTGAGCTGCCAGGGCAACCGGATCTCTCTTTTTTTTTTTTTTAAAGAAGGATGGTTGAACAGAGTTGGGAATCACCTACTTGTGTGGCTGAAACCATCCCTCGATGAATCCTTCAGTGGAAGGCACGCAGTTTGGGAAGTAGCTGGAAGCTTAGGAAGATGATGCCGAAGTCTTTTTTTTTGGGTGAGGGGGGAAACAAACATAAGCTGGGTGGCTCCCAGCCATCCGGTTCCTCAGCTTTTTAGCTGCTTACTTGGTTTAGGGGTTGGGTTTCCGAATTTAAAGCCACTAAAAGTCATGTTCACTTTTAGCAGAGCATTTCAGAACAGCCCAGTTTTGTGATGCGTTTTGGGCACCCCTTTGTTCCCCTGCTGAAAGGGGATGGGATCTGAAAGCTGGCCAATGCAAAATCCAGCATGGGCATGGGGGCTGGACCCTTAGTAAGGGCTTAACAGGGGCATACATGGCTGTTGGTCAAAACCAATGGTACCATTTTGGGGCAGGTGAATCCACCACCCATTGTAGAACCTATTTTAGTGGGATTTTCGTGTATTTCTGAAATACTGAGTCCATGCCAGCTTTGGAATTGTAGCCTTGGAATCTGCTTTCCTGTGAGCAGCAGGGGTGTTCCACCTGAATAAATGAGGATGGTCAGTTGCCCAAAGCCGACCTTTTGACCTTTTGGTTTCTCCTTTTTGGTCTAGTTTTAGTCATTGCCCCAAAAGGTTAACCTTTTACTTTTCGGTCCTTTGGGCAAGTGAGGATGTCCTTGTCTTGGAGATGTCCCAAGGAACTACCCCGAACCCAACCCGGCGCTTCCGAACCCCACGCGGCGTTCAGCGTTTTCCGCCAGGCGCTGGTGCTCGCGCTGCTGGCTGCGGCGCTGCATGGCTTGGCGGCCAACGAGGCCCAGGAGCGCACAAACGCGCCCGGGGGAAATCTTCCATTTGCTTAAGAACATGCTTAACAAAAAAAATGAATAAAGATCCCCTGTCGGTTTTTAAAGGGAATCGATTTCACTACTGGACATATTTGTCCAATTTGCTGAAATGAGGGTCCTGGTAACTTGTAAGGGAACCCGAGAAAAACCGTCCTTTGAGTGCCTCTAAGCTTCCATTTGCTGAAATGAATACTTTTTTATTTTCCCCTGTTGGTTTTAAAGGGAATCGACTTCACTACTGGAAATATTTTTGAAATGAGGGTCCTGGTAGCTTGCAAGGGAAACCCGAGAAAACCGTCCTTTGAGTGCCTCTAAACTTCCATTTGCTGAAATGAATATTTGTTATTTTCCCCTGTTGGTTTTACACGGATTCGATTTCACTACTGGAAATAGTTTTTTACTTTTTTCCAGGGGTCTTAGCCAAATGGAAGGAATGGGACAGCGGAGCTAGCCTCCCAAAAGCAACCGAGGAACCTCAAGGGGCCCTGCAGGACCATTTTGCTCCAACCGTCATACAGGTTCCGTGTTTTCCGTGTTTGTTTTGGAAGGCTATCAATTCATTTGAATACAAAGAAAGGCAGTTTCTGACAGATGCGTGACACGTGCTCCAGCAAACAAACCTGTGTGGCGATTGTTATTCTCAAGAAGCTCAAGTTGCAACGATGTATTTACCCAAGAATGCGTTGATAGCATCTGACCAGAAGGCAGAGGCTCCGCGTATAGATTTTTGAGCAAGATGGCAAACAGCCGCTTCTGCAATACAAGCACGTACGCAAGAAATGTTGTTCAACCCCAAGCAATGTACATCAAGCCCTAAATGCAGAAGCAGGCGTTGGGCGCGAAAATGATGCGGCAGCACATGCTCACATAAGGCAATTCCAATATGTGTGTGTATGGGTGTGTGCTGAATATGCAGCCTGTATATTAATCTCATGGTGATACAGCTTTCGCGCAAAGAGCCCAAGCTGGGCTTCAAATTAAAACACAGTCATTCATGCCATGCTAGTGAACAACATGCGTAACGATCTTGAGGCATCCCTGCTTAAGGCAATTGACACAGCCATTGCTACGAACACCTCGTTTGTGTGAAATGCTCATTGCGCATACGGGACATGACCCAGGCAGCTTATACAATACACCGCGACTAGCACGTAACAAACAAGCTGTTCCTTGGGACAGCAATTTGTCGTTTGTGGCTTTTGGGTGAGTGGGGGGCAAAATGCAAGTTCTATATGTGGAAAATGCGCAGGGACCATCTACATAGTCACACGACAGGCATATGCATACCTATTTGTTGATGAAGGCTCGCATGTATTTTTGTCTCGATGGACAATGCACCCTGCCGGCGGCCTGACATATCTGGGAGGGACGTACTGGTATCCATGATGGAAGCCGGGGTCTTGGATGAGTTCTGGCCATTTTTGCTCTCTATCTACGAGCCCTGCGTTGGATTGGTTCCCCTCCGTAACTTTTGGTTCACTTAAATTGGTGCCAACAAGGGCCCCCTCTTTTCTACCCAGGGCTGCTTGTTCAAATCAGTCGAGCTTTTCAACCCCTTGGTTCCCAAAAAGGGCCCCAAAATCTTCGATCAGGGTGGGGCTTGTTCATATTGCGGCCCCCCCGCTCCGCTGGCAGGCACGCCAGCGCGGACGGATGCAAGGGCCAGGCTTGGAATTTACAAGGCTGGGTTTGGGTCTGGCGTTTTTGGGGTACTCTTTTTGGGTTGGTTTCAAGGGAAGCCGAAAGGAAAACCCACCCATTTAGGGGCACCCCCTATTTTGAGACACACTCATTTCCCTGAGCGCTTTGGAATCGCGACACAATTTCCAGTTTATTCAGCAAGCAGAAAAGTTTGGCTGTGTGACCCGCAAGCTGATTCAATCGCCTGATTTTGACCGACGCTGCAGCCTTTCTAGACACTGAGTGTTCGCCTTTTCTCAGGATTGAATTCCCCGGCTCAACGGCGAACTTGGGAGCCGGCGAGATGAGACCACAGGAACTAACTGCAGTCATCCCTACCAGTACCCGCTAACTGCTGCTTCATGTCAACAAGCACTGTCCAAAAAGCAGTGGTTGGAAATCGCATGAGCTTTGATCGCGATCCTACTACCAGCTTCCCTGCAGTGTCGTGGAACCCACTTACTTGCCTGAAGAGAATGGGTGCGTCGGTTTTTTTTTGAGACCCCTAAAAATGGTTGGTTTCCCTTCACACACCAGCAACAAAGGGGGCAGCCCTAATAACAGCATTCCTCCAGTCAGCTTCCATGTTGGGATTGATCATCTAGGTCCCCCAGTAGTGCCCTTCTCTCCCCTTTTTTGGGCGAGGGTTCCCCTACTAAAATAGACAAAACAAGAAAAAAGCTGGTACCAACTTATTCTAACCTCTCTACTGCACCCAGTCACCTCTCCGCTTCACTCCGGGGACCTCGGACCTAGTCACCAAAGAGCGCCAGGCCAGCTTCGACAGCGACCACGCCGAAGAAGCGCTCAGCTTTGCGGCCCCCGCCGCCCAAGAAGCCCTGGGCGAAGCCATCAAGCGAGGCGCGTGGCCTCGTATGAGTCTTTGGGTGCTGGAGAGCTCATACCTTATTATTATTATCATTACTATTATTATGATGTTTATTAATACTATTATTATTATTCTTCTTATTGTCCAAAAGGCGATGGACAATTGTTCAACTTGTTTGGATCCTCTACCAACACCCTGGGACCCAGTGTTATCGTACCAAAAGGCGATGGGCGACTGTTTAACTTGTGTGGACCTTCTATCAATACCCAGTGTTATTGTCCGAAAGGCGATTGTCTAACTTGTTTGGACCCTCTATATCTAACACCCAGTGTTGCTCTTGTAGGGGATGGGAGTGAGCAATGCAGTACCAATGTTTGGCACCGCCAGTTTTGGGGAAATGAAGGGCCCCTTCATGTGAAGATACCCGTTTTATGGGCGCCCCTGCAATTTCCACGTAGGCAAGCGCCAAAGTCTGGCTTGAGCTTGTGTGACTTGCCCCAGTGCGGCGTGGGAACCACGCTGGAAGATATCAGAAAGGCCTTTTTATTTTGAGATGCATCAATCCCTCTAGAATGGTGTTTATATGCATGTATAGGGTTGTGTTTGACTTGTAGTGTCAGTTCAGGCTCCAACATGTAAGCAATATTTTGTTACACAGATTGGAACATGTTTAGAGTGAAGGGCTCGAAGCCCAATGCAACTAGATGGTTGCAAACGTTTCATTTGGAGGGTCAATGTTGCGATGGATTTGCGCGTTGCACATTGGCATGCTGAACTAGGGAAGCAAGGTTGAGGTTGCCTCTAGGACATCATTGCTGCACGGATGCGTTTCGGCCCGCCATTTTGAGGACTGTTCTGTTTTCCCCGGACATCGTGCATCAAGTCTTTGTGCAAATGTTTCGCCAGGTCATATGGCTGTGGGTCAAAAAATGGTACCATTTTTGGGTAGGTGCACCACCCATTTTTGTCTATTCTAGTGGGGATTGGGATGGTACGATTTGGCTTTTGACCCATGGCCATATCGGTCCTTTGAGAAGTCGCTTGCGTTCCGAGGTGGGCAGCACCGCAGCACCAAGCAATAGCAGCGTGTGCGAGGAGTCTGATGCGGAGACTGCCGGCTCGCGCTAGCAAAGTGCAGCTGCAAAATGTTGGCGACTTTAACTAGGTCCCCCAGTAGTGCCCTTTTGCCCCTTTTTTGGGGGAGGGTTCTCCTGCTAAAATAGACTATAGAAAAAAGGATACCCTTATTCTAACCTCTATACTGGAGGACCTAGTGAATGGTGCCTTCTTGAATCCCAGAGATTTCATCGCCCACGTTTTGTAGGCAACCAAGGGCTTGCCACCCAAATCAAAAAGCAATAGCACACTTGCGAAGGGGTACCTATCGTGGCTCCCTGCCTATCGAAGCAAGTCTTGGATCTTTGGGAGTTTTGGAACGCACGCGATGCCATGTGGCTGTGGGGCAAAACCAATGGCATCCCATTTTGGGGTAGGTGCACCACCCATTTTAGAAACTATTTTAGTGGGGATTGGGATGTTCACTGGAGGTACGGGATGTTGACCCATGGCCATGTGCCATGTGATGCCGCGCCACCGGACTTGATTCGCAGGTCACACAGCTCAGAACGGCACTGGGGGTGCCTTTTTTTTTTTGCAGGCGCCAGCTGAATTGGGTGTTTTAGAAGGCAGGGATGCGAGCTCACAGATGGGTGCGGTCCGATTTCCTCAGACCCACGCCTTGTGTAAAAATTGCCCTGAAGCATGAAGCACATGAAGCCAGGCGAAATATGACCCTACAAACAATCCCCGATTTGGTTTCCTCTAGGGGAATACCCAAACGGTTCTGGTCATCCCCTACCTATCGCACCAGCAAGGAAAGTCGCCAGACACATTTGGCTGTGGGTCAAAACCAATGGTACCATTTTGGGGTAGGTGTACCACCCATTTTCGAACCTATTTTCGTGGGGATTGGGATGTTCACTGGGGGCACGGGCTTTTGACCCATGGCCATTTGGTGAGGGTTGATTTTTCCTCCCGCCGCCATGGATGATGCCTACCACCAGGCTGACTCACGCTGGCGCAGCGTGCGTGGCTTTTCTGACAACTACGGTCGACATACCCAAGGGCTTTGGTGCATTTTGCTTGGATGTTAGGATTTTGTTTTGCCAACAAATTCGTTCTCCATCAACTTTTAGCAGGGGAGCAGAAAGCAACCGATCACATGGGCGTGCCTGTTCTTGCAGTCTTGGAGTGGACCAACATGTTTTGGGTCATTTCTAAAGCGAGCTCTGGGTGGGAATCGAGCGAATGAAGGTCCTCTACTGGTTGGGTTGGCCGTGCTCCGATGTGGTAACTCCCTGGTACCGGCGTCCTGTGAAGTGCAGACTTTGATTCAACAATAAACCCTGCCCCCTAAGAGTAAATTGCTCCCCCCTTTTCCTGGGGGGGACAGACGGGAATCTCTGTTTTAGTCCTGGTCTTGGTTCTGGAATTTATTGGGATTCTAGAAAATATGATTGCTATTATAAGGGGGGGGGGGCATGGTTTGCCGCCAAATGTTGTCCCCCCACAAGTTCTTGTTGGGTAAACAGCGGACGGAAGTGCATGAGATGGCTTGCATGCAATGTCTGCAATTTGGGCTCAATAGCTTTTGCTTGCTTAAGAACGAACGTGAGGGTGCCGATCATGGGCTGCAGTACCAGCGCAGGGACTGTCCAAGACAGCCACACCGGCCATGTGCTCTCGAACTTGGGGCATGACACGGCTGATGTGTTTGTACGCGATGACGGTATGGTGCGCAGGGAGAGCTCCGTGACATATGTGGAGTCCGAGCGGAGTTTTGACTCGATGGATCGGACTATGCCATCGCTGGGCAGGAGCCCGCCGACGGCTCGAAGCCACCAACGACATGTAGCGAAGCTCGACAACTTCCTGAGGCGCGTGAAGGCAGATGAAGCTGAGCTGAAGGAGGAAGTCAAGATTCGGAGGTTGGAGCTATGCGTAAGGTAGGCACCCCGGAAAGTTCTCATGTTTAGTGTGGTGGATTTTTCAGTAAGACCCTGGCAGGCAGAAGGCTTCGATGTTGCTGGAAGCAACACGGCATAACCTTGTGCCAGCCTGATGGTTTCACAGTAGCTCGCATTCACTTTGGCTTGTGCGGAGTGCCTTGTTTGTGCTGCTAGTTCAGATGTTTGTTTTTCTCGCACGCGTGCATCAACTTGAGCTGATTGCGTTGCTGTCTGGCCGCGTGCCCAGTGAGCATCACAGTTCAGAGCAGAGTGGACCTTTGAGCCACAATCAAACCCTGCAGATAAAGTAGCGACAACAGTCCCAGCCCCCTGTTAGTCTATTTGGATTTGCTTCCCGATTTTGAATCAACGTCCAATGCCGGGTTTTGATTGCGACTCCTTTTTTGGTCGCCCACTGCAGCGTTAAATCAGAAGGTCAGCAAGCTGCCTTCGCCGAAACTTCCAAAAAGTTGCCACTGGTAACGGTGGTAGCCTCCCTTTCCCTTAAGCGATTTCCAGTGTGGCCGGGCTGAAGCAATCTCATCCACCCACTTTTTTGATTTAACCTGCGGATTAATTTGGAGCATGATACTTCAGGGTGGTTTTACGGTGATAGGGGAGTTCCTTTGACTCATGTATCTCTTGTTTTCCTCAGGCGGATCTTTGAAGTTGGTATGGACGGCCCCTCTTGCTTCAGAACATGCCTGCTGCGGTTCGCGGAGAGACCTGGGTAATACATTGCTCAAGGCAGCTGCTTACGCGACCGCCTGCTGGGAGCGAGTGGAGAAACGGCGCGTGCGGACTCATTCTAGGTCCCCCAGCTAGGTGCCAACTTTTACCAACTTTTTTGGGGGAGGGTTTCCCTACCCAAACAGACTATACAGGAAAAGGGTACCCTTGTTCTAACCTCTCTACTGGAGGGCCTAGAATTTGAAAGCAGGCAAGTGCGCGAGTGATTTTTGTTGCGTGGTCCCCCTTTAGGGACCCCTCGGGTTTTCAGGAGAACCAGAGGGAAGTGACCAATGTAGCCATTTGACATAGGGTGCATCAAATCACTCATCCCTGGTATAGAATCTATGTGCCTGCGAAAAGCTGAGTTGCATTCTCTCCTTGTCGGCCTTGTGGCGGCAGGGTAGGGACCCCCGTGGATTGTGACTCGCAAACTGGTAGCTTTTGAGAAGCTTCAAGCCTTCAAAGGCCTAGTTGAACTTGGGGGCACGGGGTTTTAGAAGAATCCTTCGGTACCAAAAGGCGAGACCTTGGAGGGCGAATGATTCGGATCCCCAGACTAATTACTCATTCCTGAGTTCATGAACTTTAAGCTTTTGGGAAGACCATTTTAGTGGTAAATATAAAGTTTGGACTTTTTTGGGGCCATCCACTCAGCAAGTGAGATTTATAAACCTCCTTTTGGGGGCATTTGCCATCGGGACAGTCGTCCCGCATGCTCCGATGCGGCGACTGAGGCGACTTCGAGTCGCTGAGCGGGGCCTTCGCCGGAGAGGCCTGGGCCAAGGAATTGCTCTGGAACCCGACGGAGGCGAGTGGAGCCGGATGGGTTCGGTTGCCATGGGTGTTCTTGTTCTCAGTTGCCCAAAGCCGACCTTTTGACCTTTTGGTTTCTCCCTTTTGGTCTAGTTTTTAGTCATTGCCCCCAAAAAAAGGTGATCACCTTTTACTTTTGAGTCCTTTGGGCAAGTGAGTGTTGGGCGACTTTGGCTAGACATAGATGGGTTCCACTGGTTTAGGTGGGTTTTATCCCATTTTAGATGGGAACCCCCTCTATTTTTATCCAAAAGGCCACGTTCCCAAGGCCAACCGCGGGCAGGGACATGTGGCTATGGGTCGAAATAAAACCACCAGGAATTGGACCGCAGGTTTTAGTCTTTGGTTCCATGTACCGGGCAAGCCATTTCGGGTACGCATTGTTGACCCATAGCCATGTATGATATTTGCATTTATGGCGAGCTCACCGATTAGGGTCAAACCAGCGAAAGCCATGGATCCCTTATTGGTTTTGGACATATTGTCGAATTTGCAGATGATATGTGTGCATTGTATAGTTGAGGTTTTATGTACCTACCACGGGAAATTGCCTTGCAAACACATCGGGCTCAAGAACGCAAAGCTGCTTCAACTGCAAGAAAGCACATTATATTTGTGTCATATGCGCATGCCATTTGCCAGGTATAGATAGATATATAGTGAGCACCCCGGATTAATAGTCCCCTGATTGATTAGCAGGGCGGTGCCCTTTTCGTGAGGATTCATCGCTTTTGTAGGTGTTTGCGGTTGGTTCGAAAGGAACACCACTTCTTTTTTTTTTGTTGGGGGGGGCTCTACTGAAAAAGAGACACACACAAAACAGGCACTTTGCAAGTGAACCCACGGGACTAGAGCGGTTGATCCACAAACCCCGGCCGAGGATCCCCGGTGCGAGCGCCTGAATTGCCCGGAGCCGAACGCCTACCGCGCCTCGTCGGAGTGCGACTTGCGAAGTGGCACAGATCGATCCGCTTCGCGGGGCGAGTCTGGGCCGTTCACCAACTTTTTGGGGGGAGGATGGGGGAGGGCAAGCCCCTACTAAGATAGAGTACAGAAAAAAAGTTGGTACCCTTATTCGAACCTCTCCACTGGAGGGGCTAGCTGGCATTCAGTGCACAAGACAACTTGAACAGACAACGAGCACCAGAGACATTGCACCGGAGAGGTGGAACAAGCAAAATGCACCAGATAGTTTGCACAATATCTTGCACAGAGTAGTTGCGCAAGAGAAATGCAGAGAGTTTGAATAACGAATTTGCACAAGACGAGCTGAATACCAGAGATTGCCCAAGGGACATTGCGCATGATCATTTGCACAAGCAACATTGCCTAAGACAATGTTTAAAAGATAAACTGCGCAAGGAACTTCTTCAGCTTCATAACACATTCAACTGTCGGCCGCCGCAAAAAGGTACTCCATGGTACTCCTTTCTAGCATTCGAACACTGGGCAGCGGGGGACTTTTGTCCCAGGCCCTGGGTCTAAGACACCCTTCCGGTCGGTATGGCTGGCGAGCGGGTCAGGAGCTGTCATGCCCGTTTGGACATAGGGAGGCGCCGCATGGTGTTCTTTTTTGGTTTTGGGGGAGGCTGCCGTATGCCATTGGAGGCTTGACTGCCATTCTAGGGGTTCATTTCTTTTCAACCATGGTTCTTCTCAAAAACCAGCTGTTTCCCCTTGGGCTCATGGTCTTCCGGAAAGAAGGATCCCTGGAAAGAATGGGGATGTGTGCCCTAGAGCCATTGCGTTTTCAACTCCTCTCACCCTTGTCTACTCAGTCTTGTCACACCGAGCTGTGAATATTCACTGCGTCCCGGAATGTAGGTCGAAGAGATCTCTTGCCGAGCATCTTGCGAATGGGGCCAACAAATCTACCAAGGATTGGTTGTGGACGGCGACGTCTTCTTGTTCCCTTCGCTGCTTGGTGCCTTGCCCGCAACAAAATGCTGCGCCAAAGGGTGCAGGCGGCGTTTGCACCTGTCTTCGGGTGCTACTGAGTGAGTAGGTGGCTCAATGTTGCCAACCCAAAAAGCTAAACCACCTACCAGAACTTGATGCCAAGAAACACGAGGGACTTTTCACCATGCCTGTTTAATTTCAATCCTCAATCATGCCAGAGCTTCCTTTGCGTCCTGCTTACGGATTGGGATCTCGGGATTTCTTCATGAACAGTCTCTTGGATGCGTTTTTTTTCCTTTTTCGGCCAACCTTCTTGTGTTCCTTTTCAAGGAGCACCAAAGAACTCACTCCCTGAGCTCCGTCTCGGACTTTAGTCACTTTTCGAGCCCGGGCCATTTTAGTGGCCAGCAGCAAACGTGTCTGGTGTTTTTTTTTGCCAATCCACTTCGAGGAAGTGAGAGGAACCCCAACAACCCAACCCCAGGCTTCAGGCGACACAGTTTTGGTACGGGCTCGTGGCATGTGGGCGAAAGCGGCCGGGCCAAGGCCTGCAGGCGCAGTCTGAGCTGCTGTCGCGGCTGCTGAGCTCTTGGGCCTGTTCCCCCAACCGCAGCAATTTGGAGGCGCAAAGTGCGGGTCTGGGGTTCAGGTCCTTTGGAGGTCCGAAAATTATTGCATGGGTGGATGGAGGGATGGGAAGGAACGGAATGGAACGGACTGGGATGGTTGCTCCATTCATTGGATTCAATGGATGGATGGAGCGACGGATGCATGGATGGATGGACAGATGGGAACAGAACGGAATGGAATGCAATAGATGGCTGGATGGATGGCTGGTTGGATGCTTGGATGGATGGTTGGGTGGAGGGATGGGTGGGTGGGTGGATGGATTGGATGGATGGTGATGGGTGGGTGGGTGGTTGCATGTTTGGAGATGGACGGTCGGATAGATTGATGGATGGATGCTTGGCTGGATGGATGGTTCGAATGGATGGCTGGATATGGACGGACAGACAGACCGATGGATTGGGAATGGGAATGGAACGGACATGGAATTCTGTTGGTTGGATGGATGGTTTGGGTTTGGATGGATGGTTCGTTGGTTGGGTGGATGTGTGCCCGGATGGACGGATGTTATGGATGCATGGATGGATGAATGGTTGGATGGAGCAGCCCGTCAGGGCGCTGCGGCCAACGGACACCGTCACTCCAGCCACTTCACATGGCACCGTTTTCCTGGTGGTTTCCCTTCAAATTAGATGGCCACGGTGAATCCTTTAAACTTTGTAAATGCCAAATTGGGTTGCAATCTTTCATTTTGAGCAAAGTGGGCTTCACCTTGTTGTCTCGCCGTGTTTTGGGAATGACTGGACCCCCCGCTATCATACAATGATTTATACGGGTCTTTTCCTGATTCCCCACTGAGAACCAGCAGGGTACGTGTGATTTTCGTGGATTCCAATGCCCCCGCGTGGGCGAGGGTGGAACGGTTGTTCCTTGATTGGGGAAACCAAAAGTTTACCACGGCGGCTTGGCGGCTCCCAGCCATCCCCTTAGCTTTTCTAGCCTTTTTTAGGGTTTAGTTGCAGTTTCCATTTAGCTCACGGTTTGGATAGGTGGTTTGGGGATTTGACCTCCGCGCCGGAACCTCCAAACCACGCAAACCAACCCCAAACACAAGGAGGAAAGCTGGGTATGGTTCAAAATTAGCCACCCAGGGACTGCAGGTGTTCGTCCGCGTCGTTTCCATTTGCCAGGGTTCCATTTTGTGTACACTCCGTCCCACCATGGCACCTGACAGAGGGTCCATTGAAAAGGAACAGCTGATCTTCCGAAAAGCCGGAGACCCAGAGATGCTATGTTAGTGGGAGGAAGGGTGCCAGTTTTTGACCCACAGCCATTTAAGGTGCTCTTGCTGCATCCGAGGCTACGGATCTGGAGGCGTCCCTGAGGGCCTTCTATGGGAGCGAGGATGCGGAGGAGGCGGCCAAAGTGTCTTTGGTGGAGCGCTTGCGCTGGGTCACCCTGGGCCGGCAATACGATTGGTCCACCAGGAGGGGGAGGGAGAGGGACAGAGAGAGAGAGGGAGAGAGGGAAGGGAGGGAGAGAGGGAGAGAGGGAGAGAGAGAGGGAGGGAGGGAGGGAGGGGAGGGAGAGAGGGAGAGAGAGAGAGAGAGAGAGAGAGAGAGAGAGGGAGGGAGGGAGGGAGGGAGGGAGGGAGAAGGAGAGAGAGAGAGGGAGATGAACAGGAGGGTGAATGGGAAACTCGAATCTCAGCAGATCACGTCCTACTTGAAGGGGGTGTTCCTAATGGGGGCACGCCCCGTTTGATCAATGGTATATTTAGCGGGGCAACATTACGTGGAGAACCCTTTACTTTTAGGCCCATTTTGAGACAGGCGGCTTTGTTCAGTTGAGACAGCGCGTTGCAACATTGCGCAGTCAGGAAGAGGCATGACAGGCTGGTTGCAGCTCAAGCTCCCCATTTTGTTCCTGGATGGAGCTCAAGCCCAGGTTGCTCAAGTGGCCTCACTCCAGCCAACCATCATAAACAAACCCAGCCCAGGACCTATGCGCCTGATGCGATGCCTTTGCCCGAGTTGCTGGTGAGTCATGCGGAAAGAGCGGTGGAGCTCTTGTGGCCTGTCCGCTGGGCTGTGAAAATCAGGATCGGTTGGCTTGGGTGATGAAACATGGGACGCCCCCAGCGGCTCGTCGGCTTGAGGGACACGGGCTAGTCAACTAAACGCCTCATTCGCCAGACGTAGAGAGAGAGAGAGAGAGACAGACCGAGAGAGACAGACCGAGAGAGACAGAAAGAGAGAAAGAGAGTGAGAGAGAGACAAACGCACATGTGCCTCAGGTTGATTTGCAATATGCGACAGAGGCCAAGGCCACCCGCCATGAGTTTTTGTCCGAGTCGAGGCAAGAGGCGGGGCAGTTGGAGGCGAGCGAGCCCTTCCAGGCTGCGATTTGCAGCTTCGCCATCTGCGCGCCGGTCGCGGGGGAGCATCGGAGTTTGCCGTCCATGGGTGTGTCTTTGTCTTGTGTTTTGAATGTGTGTGTGTGTGTTCAAAATGGGATCCCTGTCTCTCTAAACCAAGCCCAACATGGTACCGAACCTCAAGAACGATTTCTTTCAAGTCAAGGGGTTTTGGGCTGTTGAGAGTAAGTCCTTGTGGATCCATTTACCTATACCTAAGACCTATGTCTTTCCTGGGCCCCTTTTTCTGTAACCAAACATGCTCAATGAGGAAGACACAATACTCAATTGGATTTTGTTCCAGTACTGTGCCCGCATGGTTCCCCTCATTTCCCGCTGAGTTCTGCCCATTTCCGGCAGATAAACGCTTATTTTCCGGGATGAACCCTTGCCAAATCAAGGTTTCCGCTCATTTCATGTTTTCCGCTCAGAATCCGAAACGAGCAAATGAAGACCTAGGTATGGAACCATCCTGTAAACAGCAAACAGCAATATAGCTGGTTGCTTACTATAAGGGTAACGGACGGGGATCCCACAGGGAATGGTTTTGTTCATCTGTTTGGAACGATCACTTCAAGGGCCCTACTCGCTCAAGACCCCAGTCCGACTGCCATGTGCTGCAGCTTCCTGCACGTCGATGCCAGGTTGCACTTGCCACAGCACTGGGTGCTCATTCGTTTCGACAGAGAAACGGTACCTCAACTCTCAAACAAATGGGAATTCATGCATTATTTTGCGGCAATACTCTGTGTGTTTGTTGCTTACAGGATCAAGGAAGTTCTTTTGACCCTTTGTCCCCCGGACTTAGAACCAAAGGGCTCCAGGCCGCAACGCGCCCGCAGGGTTTCCCAATTTCGGGGTGGGTGTTGGGGGCCTCAAGTCTGTCTGCGGGAAAGCCATTCCGATGTTCACTTGTGTCGGGGGGACGGGATCTTCAAAGAGCACTTGCCTGAAGCAGGATTGTGAAAAGGAAGCATCTGCATTTTCTCGAGCTGAAGGGAGGGGTGGTGTTCTTGGTTGCCTGGAACTTTGACCATGGCGCAAGTATCATTCCAAAAGTGGATCCGGCCGAATGTGCGCCGGTTGCTCGCAGCTTCTGGGTGAGTCTTGCTTTGAGGGTTCTTTTTTGGAGTGGTTTGGAACCAAAAGGAAACTTTGGTGCATTTTGCTTGGATGTTAGGACTTTAACTTCTTGCCAAAGCATGGGTTTTCTGCCTAACCACTAAAAGTTATTCACTTTTAGCAGGGAACATATTACGCAACCGAGGAAAGCCGACGCTTGTCAGGCCCCAATTTTGACACACACACACACACAAACCGTCATATGCCGTTCCGATTTTGGCCGCAAGCCGTCATCCCTCCCATGTCCAGCAAAGGGCCCCCAATGAGAACACAGCACATAGCCCTGGCTCTTGCACAAACCGACGCCGAAACCGCTTCCCAAGCTCGCCACTCCAAGCCAAAGCTCCGGGCCGGCGCCTTCCAAGAGGAAAGTGGTCTTACAGGGGTCTACAAACCCATGGAATCGCTGGGAGGGTAAAAAAGAGCCACTTCCTAACTTCCATTTGGTTAAGAATATGTTCTATTTTCCCCTGTTGGTTTAAAAGGGAATCTATCACTACCGTTTCTTTAAAAAACAAAAACAACAGGAGGCTTGAGCAAATGGGGCTAACCTCACCACTGCGCGCTTGGCTCGCCCCAGGTAACCTGTACCACGCGGCCCGGCGGCCTTCGGATCGGCTCGGAGGGCACCGGGATGACGTGGAGGAGGACACCAGGTCCCCGCTGGTGACGCTGAGCTTGGGCCTGCCCTGCGTCTTTCTGCTGGGAAAGGACGGGGGGGGACTGGGGGGAGAATTGGGGGGGGGATTGGGCAGGTGTTGGGCTGCCTAAACTGAGGGTCCACCAAAAGGAGGGGGGTGGGACATTTGAAATTGTCGTTGGGAAACATGTTTCCCATTTTTGCTTCTTGTGGTTTAGTGGTTGAAATCCCCACTTAACTGCTAAGAAATGATTTTTTGTTCTCCCCGTCCAACGTCAACCACATTGTTGAGTTTGGGCCTTGAGGGATTTGGAAGCAGTCGACACCCCTTGGGTTGCCTAAACCAAGAATGCCCCAAAAGGATGGGGGGTGGGCTCGACCTTTGTTTGAGTCGATATCCTAAAAAAGATGTTCGGAAAAGGGGAGATTCCTCTGGTGGGCTTTTGGGTTTCATGTTGAACTGTGAGGGGGTACCCTGTTCAAAGGGAAACCAAAAAGGACAACCACAAGTTTCAGAATCCCCCTACAGCTGGTGGTTGGCTTTAAGCATCACCTGTTGGTTGCCAATTTCAGCCGTGTGATGTTGTAGAGAGAGCCCTGTTTTTTTGGCGGGGTTCGCTGCCCATTGCAAAGGGAAGCAGGGAGACGGAATTTACCGGGTTTTGGGGTTGGATATTGTTGGTTCGCTTGCAATAAAGAATCCATCATAGAGGGGGGTAGCGAAACATGCGGGGACACAGCTGGTCTTTGAAAATGGTGGACAAGATCCAGACATGTTGGAGACAAACAGATGGTGGGAATGAACGAGACAGTCCCCCATAATTTGTTGAGGATGGTTCTGGTATTGGCTGTAGAGACCTTTCCAAACAAATGTCCTTCGATGGGGCATTCCATGGCGGGCGCAAGGTGCCTAGAGGACATGGATCTTCCTTTTTAGGGGAGGGAAGGTCAGCAGTAAATGGATGTGCCCAAGGAAATGGTGTGGTTGGACATGTGGGCATCGTTCGTTAGCAACGAACATCAAATTATGGATCCATTCCATCCATTTGATTTCCATGCATCCACTATCCATCTAGCTTTCTATTTACTTGACTGCTATTGGCTTGGATCTTTAGACTTTAACTTTTTGGGAAATCAAGGGGTTGCCCACTAAACCCACAAAAGGTTAAACTTTTTGCAGAGGCATCAGCAGCAACCAAGATGAAGTATTAAGCGGATCAAGGGCCGTGTTTGGGCGCCGAGTTCAAGGAGCGTTGCCAGAGTCCAAAAGTGCACCTGCCCGTCCACCAACTGACGTTTCGGGGTCCTGGAAGACAATTTCGCCTTAAAAGCAACCATTCATTGTCAGGTTAGTGGACAGGACGGTTTCTAGTATAGAAGTAAATGCAGGGCCCCGGAAAGAAAGAATCATCTGGATACCCGCCCAGTGCCATGTTTGGAGGGCGGGTAGCCTCAAACCACGTTGAGCCCAGACTGTCTCGCCAGGACACGCGGGCGGCGCCGCCCCTGCCACTTCTGCTCCCCGGTGGGGCGGTGCTGGTGCTCGCGGGCAGGGCGCGCCAGGCCTTCCATGGGGTGCCCTGCGCGCCCTGGCCGCAAAAGACGCAGCGGCCCAAAGCGAGTCGACCTGTTAGAAGAGCGTTTTGGTTTCTCCATGTTGGTCCATTTTATATCATGGCAACCCAAAAGGTTAGCCTCTCAGAATCTTTCAGAATTTCAATGTCCAGGTCCTTTGGGCAACTGAGGGCGTCTTTTTACGGGCAACCGAAGCAAAGAAGTCAGGCCATTTTTGAAGCCAGGCACCTCCGCACAGAAACCGCATCAACGCCATCGGGGCGCCATCGGGCCTTCGATCTGGTTCTACCTGGCTTCAGGCCTTAAGCAGCTTGCTGGAACCCAGCGTCAGGGTTTGGGTGTCTGGCATTTGGGTGTCGTTTCTCAAAATGGCGGACCCCCTGTTGGAAGTGGTTCAAAGCGAACGACCGGATCCGACCTTATCTTAACCCCCTTTTAAAGTGCAATTGCTTAATCAGGAGCCCAAATTCGTGTATTTCTTGGTCCTTGGGCTCTAAGAGAACCCCTCCCCCCCCCACCCGCATGATACCGAAACCGACGCTCCGTGGGTTTGAGGTGCTGGTGCCGCCCTCGCTGCAACTCAAGGGCCGGAGTCCCAAGCGACAGAAGATGCAAGCGACACCGCGGCCCTGGCGCGTGGGGTTGGGGGTTGCGGGGGTTGGGGGGTTTGGGGGGTTTGGGGGGGTTGGGGTCCCTGTATTTGAGCAAGGCAGCCGGCGCTGACTACTGTCCCCAAAAGGGAAACGGGGGTTGTCCTTCAACGTCCCCACTTCCTGAGTTCCTGGACTGTGAACTTTTTGGTTTTGGACAACACTGGCTTCGGGGTCACGGGCAAGCCGGTCCAACACACTTCGTGCTGGAAGTGCTAGCCAAGTAGTTAGTGTGCTTCATGGGATTGGTGGCCTCCTCCTCAGTTGGGATCGTGCCCGCAACCTGAGCCACACTCAAAACCTGAGTAAGTGAAGGTTAGTAAGGGACGATCCCAGCCAAAAATCGCTGCGGATATCCGCCTTCTTAGTTCTTGAAGCGTGGTTTTGGGTCGACCATTTTTGTACCGGGTTTTGAGTAAGTGACTCACCTCATTTTTCCCTTTGCCAGGCTGGCTTGGGTGTACCAGCCCTGGCTTGACGCGCGTCAAGCCGCGCCTTGGAGTCAAGCGTTTGGTTGCCTGCGACAGGTGGGAGTCCAGGCGCTCAGGTGTCCCTCATTTCTCTGCGGGTGCGAGGGTGCTTTGCCCTTTTGGCTCAAGTAAGCTTGATAGAAATTACACTTGTCTTAGTCTTACTCCGTTTCACTTCCTGAGTTCCTGGACTTTGTACTCTTTGGAAGGGTAACTTTAGTGGTAAACAAAAAGTGTGCTTCCCATCCACTCGGCAAGTGAGCCTTTGGTGGGCCCCTGGCTACACAGCAGAATCCCTTGGCTTTTGCACCACTTCCGGAAGAGCGGCCGTGCTGCCTGTCCAGGTTTGATTTCGGTGAGGTCACCAGAGTTCCGCATGAGATCGAGAGATCCTTCCTGACAAACCTTTTTGCACTTCCTGAGTTGGACTTTAAACATTGGTCTTAAATTTGAATCCAAACAAGTTTGAAAGATTAAACTCAGTTTTCCGCTTCTTAAACTCAGAAACTAGCCCTTTTAGGATTGCTTTCCAGCCTCAACCTGGACTTTCGTCACTATTTGGGTCGTTTTGGGTTTGGACCATTGAAGTGGTAAACAGCAAGAGTTGGCTGACCTTGTTTGGGCCACCTACTCGGGAAGTGAGCACAGGCGCACACACACACACAAACGGATTGTTCTGTGCAGTTTCTTCCATTTGCTTATGCATACATGCGTTAATTTTCGCTGTTGGTTCTTAAAGGAATGTATTATTTGCTTACGAACATGTCTTTTGAAGAAATGTATCACGACTGCACATATGTTTCGTCACTTGTCCCAGGGAGCCACAAACGGCAGGCGCTGCTTGTGATCTGCAGGCGTGCTGGAAATCCGACCGAGTGCCGAGTGCCGAGGCGGAGGGCGACTGGGAGAAGGAGCGCGACGCCATCCGGTACTTGCTGACGAGGGCCCCATGGCTCATGACGTCCCTAAGGTACTATCGATCTAACCCCGTTGCCAGAAAGAAGCCCACCACCGAGTTGTCTGAAAAAGGATTTGTTTTAGTGGCTTTTTTGTTTGGGGGTGGGAGGGAGACTAGATAAGAAACCGATTTGTTTTTGTGGCATCTTTTTTTTGGTGGGGGGAGGGAGCCCAAAGAAGTTCTGATTAATTTCCTTATTCAGGGGAAATTTGGGCTCTTCCTTTTTACATTCCTTTGCAGGCCCCATGACACTTGTGGCGGGGAACTTTATTTGTTTCATGGGAAGGCGGTCCTGCTCGTGCCAGTCCCCTTCTCAACACGCAAAACATGACGAATGGGTAAGCAGGGGCAAGGAGACTTGGCGTGTTTCACGACATGGTCTGAGCAAGACCCAGTCTAAGGGTTCAACTACATTGCAGCAAAGTCTATGGCACTCAGGAGCCCTGAGTTCATGGACTGTCGTCACTTTTGGGGTCTGGACCAATTGGGTAGTAAACAGCAACAGTTTGCTTAACCATGCTTAATCAAAGGCAGCGATTGCTGGCAGATCCATAGCAATGCCCGACACAACTGATCCCTTGGCCCTGGAAGGGTCCGCGAATTCGCAAATTTCAGGCCAGGCACTGCCACCCCTCTCATGCAAACAGGGAGTTCAGCAAAGACATGCAGCGGTGAAAGCTGGCGGAGTTGTAGGATCGCTGCTTGCTCAAGCTAACACCCTTGGTGCGTCCAGTGACTAACGCTGACCTGGGCCATAAGAAGGCCCTAGGAATCCTCGAAAAGTC